GGCTGGGAGGAAGGGAAGTGTGTTCCTATGGTCACCTGCCGAGGGTGCCGGGGCTGCTGGGACCTTATTTTATGCTGAGTATGTCTACACAGTGACTGTGTGCTGTTGGGAACTCATGCCGCCGTGTCTGGCTGGGGTGGAGGTCCAGGGGAAGGGGAGCTCTTGTGCTTCTCACCCAGGGCTGCTGCTGTCGTTATCTCCAGATGGCCAGCCGGTGTGGCACGTCTTTATCCTTTCATTTGATGCTCTGGCTTCCAGGACTGTCTCCTATGCCTGGCTCTCTGAACTTCCTGTGTCTGTGCTTTAAAGCAGTGTTTCCCAAAGTGGGCTACCCGGCCTCCCGGGAGGTACTGGAATGAGGCAGGGGTGGGGGTGGGCTAAAACAGATACCTTTACTTTGCTCTGGATTATGGGCTAGAGCACATCTTTTAATTGCCAAGGGGCACTGAGTAATTTCTTTTCTGAAAAGGGATGGTAGGCCAAATAAGGTTGGGATCCTACACTATAGAGCAGCAGTTCTCAACCTGTGGGTCGTAACCCCTTTGCGGGGTCGAACCACCCTTTCACAGAGGTTGCCCGATTCATAACAGTAGCAAAATAGAGTTATGAAGTAGCAACGAAAATAATGTTATGGTTGAGGTCACCACAACATGAGGAACTGTATGAAACGGTGGCGGCGTAAGGAAGGCTGAGAACCACTGCTGTAGAGGGAGGATGTGCTGTGTCTGACTAAGCTGCCATATTGGCTGAAAATCAGCTCTAACTTAATCCTGATGCTTAATAGTAGGGGCTTCAAAAGTTCGCAGAAAAACAGAATTGAAAGTTAATGGAATTTCTCCACAAACTCTTTGAAGCACTCTAGTATATTCCAACTGCCTTTGGAAGATATTTAGAAATACACTATGTAGATCACAAGGATGTATAAAAATTGTACAGTTGATCAAGAGTGTAACACGTGTGTAATGATCCATGCAAATGATATCATTGTTATTCATTTATGGTCGGCTCTATGGGAGAGAGTGAGTCTTGGAAACCTACAGTCAGCATTGACTCGATGGTAGTGAGTTTTTGAGCGTACCAACAAAGGAAAGAGTTGGAAGTTTTTTACTTTGCTATTTGCAGTGACCTATACTTAAAATTAATCTGCTTCCTCTTGTTCCCAGCTAAAAAGGCTTCTGGAGTGCTGTCCTTCTTCCGAGGAACGGCAGGGAAGAGCCCAGACCTCTCTTCCCAAAAGAGAGAGACCTTACGTGGAGCAGACAGTGCTTACTACCAGGTTGGACAGATGGGCAAGGAGGGGACGGAGAACCCAGGCACTGAGCCTCAAGGTGTGGTACACGGAACCGCTTAACGCTTGTTTACTTACTTTATTTACGTACTCCCGAGAGCCTCGTTCCTGTCCAAACCAGGGCCTCCCCTCTCTTTGCACGTCCCCCGGTGGTAGAATAGGAAAACCATGGGGCTTGGTGAGCCCAGTCTTTACTCAGAGATCATCGGTATCGCAGACTGTGAGACAGAATCAGGAGTCCTTAACTGGGAAGCAGCAAAAAATTAGGTCTTCAGACTTTCTTTGACGTACCGAGGTTAGCACATACCTCTACTCCCTCAGACGTCCTTCTCTTCCAGGCCGGGAACATTGAAGCTAGTATGTTCATACTCTTAATGCTTTCTTTGGGGGTAAGAGCTCATAGAGGAATCGGCGAACTGTGCTGACCTGTTTTTAAATAAAGCTTTATTGGAATATAGGCATGCCCATTCATTTCCCTTATTGTCCGATTGATTTTGTATTATCAAGTTGAGAGTTTTGTCAGTAAATGTGCACGTCCCCCGGTGGTAGAATATCTGGCTCTTATAGAAATAGTTTGGTGACTCCTGATTTAGACCATGAATTAGTGGTTTAAAAATTAGGCCATTATATAATAAATTTTCATTGGTAATTGAGATCTATGTAGTGTTGTATAGACAGGTATAATGTTATAGGTGCTTATAATTTATTTGACTCAGGGATGGCATTGGTACAAGGGGGTGTTAAAAAGGTCATAGAAAAATTTCAGTATCTTTCAATTTTATTGTTTCTAAAAGTTTTTTTGGAGCTCCCTTATACTTCCCAAGAAAAAACGGGGTTGTTTTTGAGATATGAACCTTATGGGATGACTTGTTCTTCTGGATATTAGAATATGTTGTAAATCTACAATAATGAAACAAAGGGGTCTGACATAATAGTTTACCCACTGAAGTTATCTAGCTAATATTGGTTTGATAGTGGTTTGACCTGGATATCTTTACTGTTGATTTATTCATATATTTGGTATTATACCAGAGGGGAAAAAAAAGTGAGCAGTTAACTATTTAAGCTTGGCCTTTCCTAATGCTATTTCACCTTGTAGATGAGGCAGATGGAGGAGATACACAGAAGAAACCACTCACAAACCCGCACGTGGAGCTTCGTAAGTGTGCAGCCCTGTCTAAGGGTGGGGACAGAGCTTACCGCTGCGCACTTTCTGCTGTTTGAGGCTCCTAGCTTCATACTTGATAACGCCTCCTGTCTTTCGTTTGTGTCCTGATGCGAGGTTAACGCAATGATAATTTAGCTCATCAATGATAAATGGCTTAAGTCAGATAGGAATTTATTTTAAATGGTTATTTCATGTATACTTTTAAAATTTTAACTTACGATTTTAAAGTATTTCTTATGTATCCTGAAGTCATAAAGCCTTTATAAGGCACCTAGAATTATGGGGATGCTGCTTTGAAAAAAGAGATATCATCATCCAGAGTCGTATCATGCGCAGTAGACTGTAAGCCATTTGGGAATTACCTTTTAAAGATTAAAATGTAGTGGCCAGTCTAAAGTTGGAGCAGTGTTATTTTTGCAGGAAAATATACATAAAAGTATGTCAGGGTGCTCATGAGAGGCTCTCAGAACGTCCCTTCACATCATGTTAACAGACGTGAAAAATGCTATTACGGAGAAAACCTTTTGGGGAGGGGAGAAAGAAAAGGTATTACTGATTCATAAAAGGGTTTAAAATTAATTTTCTACTGCCATTTGTAGAATTTTCCGATGCGAACGCCAAGTTTTACTGCCGGCTCTACTATGCGGGAGAGTTCCACCAGATGCGGGAAGTGGCCCTGGGCAGCAGTGAGGAGGACTTCATCCGCTCCCTCTCCCACTCGTCCCCGTGGCAGGCCCGTGGGGGCAAGTCAGGCGCTGCTTTCTATGCCACCGAAGGTGAGCCTTCTGAATCATGTCCGAATGAAGCAAAATCCACTTTCCCTCAGATAATCCATGGATCGTGTGAAGTGAGGTGGTTTGTCCATTTTTGTGGTTGTTTTTGCTTGAGAGGATGTAGTAACATAATTAAAAGAATATACATGTATGAGTCTGCAATGAGAGAAGACATTGATCAAGACCTTGCTATATTTAGTTCCAAATATAAATGGTAAGAGAAAACATACCAGAAAACTCAAAAGAGTACTTCTTTGCTGAAGAGAGAAGAGGAAAATAAAAATGTTTAATCTGGAAATAGGAGGTCCTGGTCTTTAATTTCCACGGTTTACCGAAGATATGACCATTTTTCAAAATCATTTTACTGGAGGCTCATACAGATTTTATCACCATCCATCCATCCATCCATGTGTCAAGCACATTTGTACATTTGTTGTCATCATTCTCAAAACATTTTCTTTTTTCTTGAGCCCTTGGTATCAGTTAATTTTTCCCCCTCTTTCCCTGCCCCTCTCCCTCATGAACCCCAGATAATTTATAAATTATTATCACTTTGTCATGTTTTACACTGTCCCACGTCTCCCTTCACCCACTTTTCTGTTGTCCATCCCCCCCAGGGAGGAGGTTACATGTAGATCCTTTTGATCGGCTCCCCCTTTCCACTCCACCCTCCTGGTATCGCCAGTCTCACCACTGGTCCTGAGGTGTTCATCTGTCCTGGATTCCCTGTTTCCAGTTCCTATCTGTACCAGTGTACGTCCTCTGGTCCAGCCGGTTTTGTAAGGTAGAATTGGAATCATGATAGTGGGAAGAGGAAACATTAAAGAACTAGAGGAAAGTTGTATGTTTCGTCGGTGCTACACTGCACCCTGACTGGCTCATCTCCTCCCTGCGACCCTTCTGTAAGGGGGTGTCCAGTTACCGACAGATGGGCTTTGGGTCCCCACTCCACACTCCCCATCATTCACAATGATACGATTTTTTGTTCTTTGATGCCTGATATCTGATCCCATCGACACCTTGTGATCACACAGGCTGGTGTGCTTCTTCCATGTGGGCTTTGTTGCTATGACCGTTTGTTTCTACTACACCTTTTGTTCGGCTGAACTACTGAAATGGGAGTGGCTTGAAAAAATGCCACATGGTGGGTTTTACCAAATAAGAACTTTTATAATATCAGGCCATTAACAAAGGAATTTGTAGAATTTTAGTTAGTGATTTTAAACCTTAGATTATCATCTTGATATGAGTTTAGAGAACTGCCAGAAATTCAGGGTGAATTGGGAAGAGAATATAAAACACATGGGAGGGATATCGTTGCTGAGAACAGATGCATCTTCGCTGAAAGCAGAGAAAACTAGAAAGATGTTTACCTGTATTATTGTCATTATTTTTATTTGACTATGCAAAGGCATTTGGCTGTGTAGGTCATAACAAATTATGGATAACATTCCAGAATGGGAATTCTAGAACATTTAAATGAGCTCATGAGGAAGCCGTACATCAACTGACGGGCAGTTGTACGACCAGAACAAGGGAATACTGCATGGTTCAAGCTCAGAAAAGAGGAGCATCAGATGCTATCTCGTCACCATACTTGCTCAGTTTCGGGACGCTGGACAAATAATCCAAGAAGCTGGCACATGGAAAACGTGGCATCAGGACTAGTTGAAGACTCAGTTACAACCAGCAATGTGCAGATGATCCAACCCTGCAGAAAGTGACAAGGACTTGAAAGTACTTATTGAGGAAGATCAAAGACTACAGTCTTCACTGTAGATTATGTAAAACAAAACCAAAATCCCTAAAACCCTGCTGTTAGCGTTGTGGTAAAGGAGAAATGATGGAGGTGTCAAGGATTTCATCTTACTGAGATCCACAGTCAACCCCTTAGAAGCAGTATTTTAAAGAACCTATTGTATTAGGCAAAATCACCGCAAAAGACCTTAGTGTTAAAAGGCACAGAGGCCAATTTGATGACCAAGGCGGCATGTGGCCAGGCCCGGCATGCTCAGTCACCTGGCATGGCACAGCAGCAGGTGGTGCTTGCTTCTGTTGGATGGATGGATGGTCGCTGTGAGTTGGAACTGACACAGCGGCACCTAACTGTTGTCAAAAGCCAGGCTTCTTAACTAGAACTCTCCAGAATCCCTCCCAGTCCTTCAACTATTTCAGAATTGTGTTCTGATCAAACATGGTGTGACATCAGAAAATCTCAGATTAAATTAACATACAAAATGTCCTCTCTTTCAGATGACAGATTCATTTTGAAGCAGATGCCTCGTCTGGAAGTCCAGTCTTTCCTGGATTTTGCCCCACACTACTTCAATTACATTACAAATGCTGTCCAGCAAAAGGTAGACATACCAGTGTTGGTATAGGACCAGTGATCACTGGGCCCTTTCCACATCCCCAGGGTGAGGGTAATGGCACGGTCTTCCTCGAGGTAAATGGGATGGAACCTGCTGCACACTGAGTAATGTGTAGGTTTGCTGAGACAAACATTTGAAAGGTGGGCTCAGAAATGAGAGGTTGGATCCCTCAGGCAGAAAGAGAAACCAGCAGCGCAGGTTTGCCCCCTTGTGGTGGTGTGATGAAACCCTGTAAGAAATGAAGGCGCCCGCCACGGAACTATTTTTAGTTAGGGTTTATTGCATGTGAGTGGTTAAATTATGCCATAGCGAAACTTGGGAATTTGAGGGTTTGTGAAGGATTAACCCCTGGGAAAATGTTAAAGAACTAGCATTTTTTGTTGACCCTGTGCTGTACTCACTCTTGAGAAGGGGTGAGGAGAGATTGTGTCTGACAATTGTATCAAGAAATATCAGTATCACATGGATCATATAAGTACTGGTATTGTTAACAATAACCCTGTTTAATAAGTGTGTACTTTGATCTCTTCTTGATTAGAGGCCCACCGCTTTGGCCAAAATCCTTGGAGTTTACAGAATTGGTTATAAGAACTCTCAGAATAACACTGAGAAGAAGTTGGATCTCCTTGTCATGGAAAATCTTTTCTATGGGAGAAAGATGGCACAGGTAAGGCTGTTGAAACCCTCTAGTTAAGGGGACCTTGTGCACTTCCAATTCCTACATGTAATGAATCTGAAATACTGCATTTCAGAGTAAATATTTAACTCAGGTTGCTAGGCCAAATCTACCTTTGGACCATTGTGGAAACATTAAAGAGGAATATTCTAGACTAATCTTAAAATGTTAACAAATCCAATCTCCTAGAACCAAAGTCACACAGCTAGTCCTAGAACTCAGGTTGATCCAGAGCTCTAGCACAGTACTCTTCAAAGTGCTGGTCTTGACTCAAAGCCCATTAGTAGGCCACTGGAGATCCCCTTGCAGAGGGGTCTTGGGGAGAAGATGAGCCAGTCAGGGTGCGATGTAACAACGATGAGAAATACAACTTTCCTCTAGTTCCTAAATGTTTCCTCCCCGCTCCCACTACCATGACTCGAATTCGACCTTGCAAGTCTGGCTAGACCAGAGGATGTAAACTGGTACAGATAGGAACTGAAAATACAGGGAATCCAGGATGGATGATCCCTACAGGACCAATGGTGTGAATGGCGAAACAGGGAGGGTAAAAGGAGAGTGGGTAGGAAAGAGGGAACCGATTACAAGGAACTATATGTGACCTCCTCCCTGGGGGACAGACAACCGAAAAGTGGGTGAAGGGAGACGCCGGACAGGGCAAGATATGACAAAATACCAATTTATAAACTATCAGGGGCTCATGAGGGAGGGGGGAGTGGGGAGGGAGGGGATAAATGAGGACCTAATGCCTGGGGTTTAAGTGGAGAGAAAATGTTTTGAGAATGATGTACAAATGCGCTTTACACAATTGATGTGTGTATGGATTGCGATAACAGCTGTATGAGCCCCTAATAAAATGTTTACAAACAAACAAACAAAAACCCTTCAAGAGTATAGTAAGCGACCAAGTGCTTACAAGCAGCACCTTAAAAATGGCCTTATTACAAGGGACAGTGTGGGAAAGAACTTTTACTTAGGAGAATGTGACTGGGATTCATTTCTAACTCACTAGTGTGAAAGCCTTCTTCCACCCAGAAACCTGGCCTTCCAGTCTTCTTAAATATCAGAATAAAGAGCTTGTCTGCACACACTCTCTTCCAGGTTCTCAGTTTCCAACAAATGACAAATTAAAAAAAGTAAAGTCAGTAAAAAGGTAGTAACTATAGGAAATCTCCCTGCCTTTGGTTTTGTTTCATTTTTTTCTTAATTGTAGCAGCAACTCATAAATCACAGAGAGTTTTCTCCCTCCTAGGTTTTTGACTTGAAGGGTTCTCTCAGGAATCGAAACGTGAAAACAGACACTGGGAAAGAGAGTTGTGACGTCGTCCTGCTGGATGAAAATCTTTTAAAGATGGTTCGAGACAACCCACTGTATATCCGTTCTCACTCCAAAGCTGTGCTGAGAGCCTCCATCCACAGCGACTCCCACTTCCTCTCTAGCCACCTTATCATAGACTATTCTTTGCTGGTTGGTCGAGATGATGCCAGCAACGAGCTGGTGGTTGGAATTATAGGTAAGTTAGCGGAATGACAGGGAGCAGGCCTCCCTTCAATGAGGATACTGAATTGGTCTAGCAATAGCGTATTAACAGATATTCTTGAAGTGAAAAACTCCCTCAAACTCACTGCCCGCTTAGAGTGACCTTATTAAAAGGCAGGGTAGAATTGCCCTCATGAGTTTCGAAGACAAACTTTATGGCAGTAGAAAGCCTCGTATTTCTCCTGTGGTGCGGCTAGTAGTTTCAAACTTCCAACCTCATCATTAGTAGTCCATCACATACCACCAGGGCTCTAAAAACAAATGAGGCCCTGTAATGTGTTGTGAAAATTCAATGAATTAATATGCGTTTAAAAATAGTTAAAAATGAAAAGAAAAAAACCCCAAACACTAGAAAAGCACCTGGCTCACCGTCAATACTCTATAAAAGTTAACAATGACAGAGGTATGGTAGTTATAGTTGAACTGCTATTACATCTATCAAACTCCCCAGTTCACCTGAGGGAGAAAAATGAGGTTTCTGCTCCCATAAAGATTTGCAGCCTCAGGAACCCTAGGTAAGGTTGCTGTGTGTAGAGATTAAGTCAGTGGGAGTGGGGTTTTTTTGGTAATGGTGGTGATAGTAATTGTAATTATTATCATTTACTTACTTATAATAAGAATTTTTACTGCTAGTATTTCTCCCCCAACAGATTATATTCGAACATTTACATGGGACAAAAAGCTTGAAATGGTTGTGAAATCAACGGGCATTTTAGGAGGACAAGGTGAGCAGACTATTCATTTTGTTCACTCTTTAAACTTTTAGAATTTTTAAAGTCAGTTACTTTTTCTTAGATGGCTGTTGCTATTTTTATTTTTAATTTCTAAAAATTAGTGGTTATTTTCTATTACCATCTTCAAAATGACCCCCCAAAAAGAGGGGAATTAAGTAGGCCAAGGAGGTATTAGGGTTCACTTTTTATTAAAATGCCAAAGGTCCTGAAAAGATAAAGTTAAAAAAAAATGCAAGAAGAAAACCAGAGGTTCTGAATAATGGTTCTTTGTCTTAAATATTTTAAAACTTAGTCCTCTAAGTTCTCTAAGCACTACCAGCTCTAAGCAGGAGCTTGTTTAAAAAAAAATTTTTTTTTCATGGACACTGCTTCCCGGATAGCATCTTGTCTCCAGTCAGGCAGTATGGTGGACACCAGTTTGCTCCCTTACGCTGCGGGGCACATGGGTCTTTCTGGTGGTTTGTGTGGGAGGGACACTGTCAAGTTACAGGCAGTTGCCCCATCAGTCACAGAACGCTTTCTTTCCTCTCTCCTATCTTAGGCAAAATGCCAACTGTTGTCTCTCCAGAACTGTACAGGACTAGATTTTGTGAAGCAATGGACAAGTACTTCCTGATGGTGCCAGACCACTGGACAGGCCTGGGTCTGAACTGCTGAAGCTGCAAGCGCCCATTTTGAAATGGACTACACAAGACAGGGACCTAAAGCAAAGGACCAAAAATAAGTTACATGTTTTGTGTCTTCCGCACACTCACCACTGTATGCAAAGGCCTCTCGGCTGTGAGGCGGTTCAGACTGTCCGTAACCGCAGGGCCAGAGCTGAGTGGATTTGCACTTTGGGTTTTGCTTCCTGTGAGTTAGCTAGTTGCCGGAACTTCTCACTTGAACTTAAGTACAGTGGCGAGTTTCAGAGGCTGAAGGACTTGGTTAAAGTCATGGTTGGCGATGACGTCACCGTGTGAAACCTTAGGTGTCCGGAAGAAAGCAGTGTTTTCTCGGCCGTAACTCCTGGCATCACGCTGGATACTTCCTTATGTTTGGGAAACTTTGTAGAGCTGGTGAGTTTGTTCTGTGTGTCTTCTATAATCATCTTAACGTTACTCGTGTGAATGTCTGAAGCCTTTAAAAATAACTTCTAATGATCCGTTATGGCCAGTTCAAACAGGTTGGCAAGATCAATCTGCTATGTTCTTTTCCTGAGTGCTTTGTCTAATTTGAGAATCCCCTTGTTTCTTTCGAACTTGGTTTGTTTTGAGGATGTTCGGTGTTTTTAAATGTCTGTCTTCTCTGTGGTGACAGGAGACTGCAGCCATGAAGCTTAAGCTTTTTTTGGAGGGGTTTTTTTTTTCACACTTGCTTCCAGTTTTTATGAAGTTAGTATGGTAACAACACTCACTAACATGTTCATATTTTAGGTTTTCTTCTTTCTCGTTTGAGGATAGCAACATTAGTAAATGAGATGGCAACTAGTAGATCCCCAAAGAGAAAATTATTAATACTTTTTTTTTTAATCTTAAAAAAATGTGTTCCAATCTAAGAAATAAGGTGAGCAAGGAGCTCTTCCTTGCTTTGTGTAAAGTGTGGTCTTCAATGTAACCAGTCATGTAAGTGGCATCTATACAGGTTTCCATTGTGGACATCAGTGATTTCTAATTTCCTGAGAAATCTTAGGGGATAGTTATTCTGATAGGAACTTACTATTAATGGTCCGCACTTTAGGTTTTAAAAGTGATGAGAGGTACTAAACTATCTCTGAGGAAACAGGTCCTCTGGCTTTCCTCTGTAATAAGGATCGGTTGGGAATTTATCATTTTAAGCATCCCTCTCTTTTCATGCTTTTCTGCATAGCACATTTCTGCACTAATAGTTTTCACAGAACAAAAAGCCCTGGATATATTTCAATTAGATGGTCTATAAAAAACAAACAAAAGAAGCTTTTAGAAAACTTGCTTCCAAAAATGAATGTATCAGTTTGGTGTTTGATGCTTATTAGAAACCTGGCCTGTTTTGAATGGGAACAAGTTGAATGGAGATTTCTGACGAATTTGCTTTATTCTTTAAAGAAACATGCATGTGCCTTGTGAGGACACATAACACACTGGTGATTTCAGTTTTGTGTTAAGGACTCCCAATGGTGTGGTACCAAGGTCTGAGAGAAGTGGAACCCTTACTTTTACGTATCCACAGGGATAATGGCTTTTCTACCTGCTCTCGAATGTACATAATCACTGCCCTCTGCTTATTGTATGCATAGGGCCAGATTATTTGGAGTTCTTATCTCACCCGTCACTTGTGGCCCCGCTCACTCACGCACAGGTCAAGTGCAAGGTGTCTTCCACCCATAACTGGACAGTTTCTGTTTTTTTTCAATACCATGTGCATCGCTGAAATACTTCCTGGTGACAGTTCCTGGTAATATATGTACAGTGGCTTTATTTACCTTGACCATGATTTAAAAATTTTTTTGTTAAAAGTACTGCTACCTCATAAGTTAATTTTTGTGGTTAAGAAAACAGTTCCAGTGTGATATATCTTAAAGCAGTAGTTACTGCCTTGCAAGGGTAACTGTCTTGAAAAAAACAAATGTCTGGGCTGTATCAGTGAAGGGCCAATATGAGAGTTAGTATTTGTTTTGAATGGCAGAATTGTGCTCCATCTGTTCCTGTTCTGTGTATACCACCCTCATAGAAAAGCTGTTTCAAATAATCTGCTACTTCCAGGGATGCACTAAATGGGCGGGGATTTTCCTCTCTTCAATTTCCTTTCAAGGTCTGGAGAACATTAATGTTGGAAAGGCAGTGATGAGGAAGAAATCTTGATACTTTTTTCCTTAGAATAAAACTGGAGCCCTGAAAATAATTGGTAATAGGATAGAAAAGTCTCATGAACATGGTTTTTGTGTAAAATAACTTATTTATAAGTGAAGTTTTTTGATGCCATCTGAAATTTATTAAAAATTAAGGACTTACTTTTTTTTTCTTGTGTAAGCCTGAGAAAAATAGAATGAAGCAGTTGAAATCCCTTTTCAGTCTATTAAAGACTTTAAATTCATAGATTCTCAAAATGTCCTACAAAACGCCTCCTTCTTCCTTGCTGCAGGTGGTTTTGGGGCACTCTCTGGTGGCTGGTCTTGTAAATGGTAGGGTGCATTTGTTTTGTGGCTGCAGCTTCTCCTTGGCATTCTACCCTCTCGTAGTGGCTTGTGTAAAACTGCCAAAGAAGGTACTCTCTTCATGTAGAAAGTTTGCTTGGCCGTCGGAGTGGAAACTATTGTGAATGAGCCTAATTGTGAAGCTGACCAGGGCCATTCACTAGTCCTCAAGTGTTAAGGTACTCATTTATGCAGTATTCAAATCATCTAGTGCAATGCCTTTTTGGGGGTTTGTGTTTGTAACAAGGGTGCAGTGTATTATAGAAAAATAAAAATTACAATCGAGCAGTTTTTAATGCTTTTATCAGTTTTGTAAAAAAATGTACATTGTGTCTTTTGACAAGTTTAATTTTAACTAGAGAAATGATGTTGTAAATCATAATAGCCTCTTTCAATTTGATAAATTCAATTACCAATATTAAAAGCACTAAGTGTATTATATTGTATATATTTCTGAACTTTGGTTCCAGCTGTGTTTTATATGATTGAGGTGTTATTTAAAGAGATAACTGATTTGACCTTTTGGAGAAATGTACTGTAAATAAAAATAACTTACAATAAACTGAGAATGTACTCACTCCACTTGGCCTCCAGTCTGTTTGAGATGGAGTTAGATACATCAGCCTAACCTGGAGCCTGAAAGTGATACCAGGTCTCTTTCTATTCATTGTTTGTCCGGGTTGACCAGAGAAACAAATCCGGAGACATTCATATATGTAGAAGAGTTTTACATCGAAGAGTCACTGTGTATTAAGAAATCATTGCAGCCCATATCAAGTCCGATATCAGTCCCATACTAGTCAATAAATGCCTATTCAGGCTCATGCAGCGCATGCGATGATGCTGAAAGCAGAAAGATGACAGGTCCACGGGTGAAAAGTCTTGTGGATTCAGTGGTGTTGGGGAGAATCGAGCACGGGCCGGTTGTCCCCACGTGGCTCTTCCAGCTCTGGGCGTGGCTTCCCAACAGGTAAGTGAAGAGACCAGAGAACTATTATCTTCCTCCCTTCTTGACACCGGAAATGAGGCTTAAGGTCGTTCCGCCAGTAACTGCGATGGCTGTTTGGCCTTCGAGTCGGTCTGTGTATTCTCGTCCTTGATTGGGCGAGTACCAAAGCGCTGCGTTTCTCCTTGCTGTGATTGGCTGCATTCATCCGGGGGCGGGGCCTTTAGCTGTCAGTCTCTCCCGCGCGGGTGGAGGTTCCTTTCTCGTGTTACCAGCCTTGGCTTGTGTCGTCACTTGCGGCTGTGGGCGCGCGGCTGGGAGGCCCACCGTCGATACCTGAACTGATGAGGGCGAAGGTGAGCCGGGGCGGCGGGCGGCTGTCTTGCAGAGGCGGAAGAAGCGGATGCGGAGGTAGGTGGTGCGGCCACCGAGCAGACAGAGCCCCCTCTGCCGGGCTCGCAGGGCGCGGAGAGGACCTCGTCTCAGAACTCCTCCAGGCCAATAGCCAAGAAGACGAGCCTTTTCCTTAAGTTAGAAAAGTACTCCTTAAGCGTTTGAGGTCAGCCTACCCAAACTCTCGGGAAGCTTTTTCTTTTTTTGAATAGTTCATTAAAATTTTAGAGGAAGACAGAAAAGTTTTCGAAACACTCGGCTGCCAGGAGGATCGTGGGACTGGGTTGGCCCCGGGCCGGCGCGCGTGGAACGCGGCTCTGCGTGGGGAAGCCGCGCGTTTCGCGGCCGGCAGAGGCTGCGCAGTCCCGGCGTGGTCCCGCTGTGCGCGGTGGGCAGTAACAGGAAGGGGGTTCCCGGTTTCATCTCTGGCAGACGTGAACTGGATGGAGGATCTCGGAGGGTTTGGCTTTTCGTCTCCTTCGGTTCAGTGGTGTGACCCCTTAGTAACGACATCCCTTTTCTGGCAGTTTCCTTTTGGATGCATTACCAGTGTTGTAGGACCAGGCGAGGAAGGGGGTTAAGAACCTCTGTATACGGCACGCATACCGTGTTTCCCCGAAAATAAGACCTCCCCCGATAATAAGGCCCCCCCTCAAGCTACCGTGACTCTGGACCCTGGACCCTGCACCGTAGTGGTGGTAGCGGCGCCGAGCAGCTCAGCGCAGCCGGAGCAGACAAGAAGTGCGAGGTCTCCCTTAATCAGAGAGCCCATGCGGCTTCCAGGACAAGCTGCGCCTGCTGATCGCTCTGCCTTGACAGAGTCTGGCTGACTTACAATTAGACCGTGAGTGGC